TCAAACATGCATTAATGAGTCAAAGCAAGGCTTTGGGCATGTTTTTTTTTATGAAAGTATAACATTATAACATGATATAAAACTCAAAAAAGTTAATTTTACATGATATTGCCCCTTTAATAAATGACAGACAGACTTTAAAATGTATTTCAGAATGTTCAGCTTAATTCATTCTTTTAATAGTGAAATGCTGATTCAGCATTCACATTATTGTTTTCCTGTTTTATTTATTTTTCTGTATATTTTTAGCAGTCTACTTTTGCATACTTGGATCTATTTTTGCCATCCATTTATCAAAATGTTCGGCTCAATCCAGAGATGGGTGCTTTCTTTTATACATTTCTAAATATTTCACTTCATTTACAACTCTGTTCCCCAAAGAAATACATTGTTCTCTTGAACTCTGCTTCAATTTTCTTGCACTACAGTTTTCTTCTTATGCTTCTTTTAGTTATGTTTTGCAACTTTATGGTTTTAGCTAGCATTTAGCAGCACGACGGCTCAGTGGTTAGCACCAACGCCTCATAACAAGAAGTTTCTCGGTTCGATTCCCAGATTTGTTGTCCTCGTGCTTGCATGGGTTTTCTCCAGGTACTCTGGTTTCCCCCACAGACCAAAAACATCTACAATAGGTTGTCTTCAGGCCCAGGCCTCCCTTGAAAAAGAGATCTGTGCTCTCTATAAGAACTGCCTGGATACATAATAAAATAAATTTAGCTTTTTCAAAAGCATTTTTCAATTTTTGGCTTCAAACTMGCCTTTTGCAACTTTTGAGTTTTAGCTAGCATTTAGTCTCTTGATAGCATTTTACCACATTTAGCTTGAACATGTAACTTATTTAGAGTTTTGTAAATCTGGTATACAAATATACAAACATTATTTTCTATCTGTTAGTAGTTAGTTTCAGTTTCTTAAAATCCACAAAATAGTGGGTAAAATAGCATTAGGTCATGATTGTMATTTTAAAAACATTGTTCAAAATATACAGTACGCTCATATTTGTGTTGCACTGCACAGATGTGAGTTTTGATATTCTTCTTAAACAAATTCATACAGSCTCTCAGTTCCTGCAATAGAAACACCTTCCTATTGCTGTAAACTAGTTGTAGTTAAGTCTGGATCAAATAAAGACATGAATTACTTTCTTAGAATCAGCAAAAGAGGGAAAGAAAACACCACTTCTTTACTTCTTCCTAAATGAAAGGGTTGTGTCAAAAAAGACACCAAGATTTTAGTTTTTTTTTTCATGTTTTAAGTAAAAAAAAATGGATGAGGCTTGAAGGTGAAGGTGGTTCAGAAAAATCTTACTTTTGTGTCTTTTTGTGTTAGGAAATGTAGTTCCTGCAAAGCTTTAGACAATCTAATTTGAGTCAAACAACATCCAAATTATACTGAATAACTCCACGGAAGTCAAATCCAAATCAATCCAAATTTGATTCAGTTCTAATCAATACAACCCACATTTGTGTATTAGTATTTAGTAAAAGTAAACTGTCTGACTAAAAAATGCAACAGATTGCATCAAATCTTCATTCTGATTCAGTTTTTCAGGGGACAGCTGACAGTCGAGAGAAGAGCTCTAGTTAAATAGACAGAGCCTCGCTGTGGAACCAGACTCAACATTAATCTTGTAAATGATGCTGCTGCTGGTAGAATCTGTCATCTGTCTGTCAGTGACTGTCAGTGAATGACAAACTGTGTCCGCCTGAAAACAACACTAATAACTGAGCGGTGCATCAAGGAAACGACTCGTGACAAACAAGAGCAGGATAAGAAAACAGGAGCACTGTTAAAAACAGAAAATATATCCAGACAGAGGAAATAGCTTGAGACTGCCACCTAGTGGAGGGACATTTACCTCCCCATGAGAAAACACGTTCTCCTTGTTCCTCACTGATGAATCATTCACAGACTCTAATCAGACAAAAGAGAACAAAATGAGAAATGTCTCAGTCAGAACCAGGGAGTCCGAGAGGGACGGCAGGCGGAGCAACGTCCCAGTCCCCTCGGTCWTTATTACTTCTCAGTGTGAGCAGCGAAGCATGGCAGCAGTGAGCACAGCCCAGGGCTGCAGGGGATAATGTACATCTCACTCACAGGACAAAGCCTCCTCTCAGGAGAACTCCTCACTCCTCTGTGAAAATGTGAAGGAGCGCCTGAGCTGATGGAAATGTTGCACAGTCCAAGCTCGAATGAAATGTACAATCACTGACACGAGTCCCAAACGGATTATTTTACCCCCAAAATAGGACAAATTGCTTTACAGTAAATAAGTCTGAGCCATTATGGCTGCAGACAACA